GTTCAAAATATGAATGTTCATTGGGTTTTTTTCGAGATTTTTTTCACTATTTTACACTTTAACTAGTTGTACAAGTCATAAGAATGTATCCAACATGTTTTATAAAAGTTCAAGAAGTTATTTAACATGTTTTGGATTGTTCAAGGACTTATTTGTTTCAAAAATTGTCCAATGAGTTATTTAACATTTTTTGGAATGTCCAATAACTTATTTGTTCCAAAAATTGTCCAAGGACTTATTTAACATATTTTGGAATGTCGAAGGACTTATTTGTTCCAAAAAATTGTTCAAGCACTTATTTAACATGTTTTGGAATGTCCAAGGACTTATTTGTTCCAAAAAAAAGTCTAAGGACTTAATCATTCCAAACAAGAAAGTCCATTGGTTTTTATTGTACTTTTCCCTTATAATAATTACCAATAAACATATACGTAGGAGCCGTTTATCAAACACTTACCTGATAAGCATTTATCGACAAAATTTAACACTATCATTTACTTATCGGGTAAGATTTTAGTCTACCAAATGACATCGTATGTAATAATTTACCCGGTAAGTGCTAATCATGGTAAGAGTCGTCTCCATCACTTACCGGGTAAAGACTCTCAGTTCGTGACTTTGTTATTATTAGGTAAGATTCTTGGTCCTTGTCATATTCATCCAGTAAGAAAATGTAACTTGATAAGCACTTACCCAAATAAGCATTTAATAAACAACCCCTTAATAATATTTTTTTTAAAAGAATGTAACCATTAAAAGTATTTTCGAAACTTGGTATCTAAACATTTATTGATACGTTCCTCCCATTTTCCAAGAAGTCAAATTGTATGGTTATTGATATTATTACAAGTATATTTATTTTCAATAAAGAAAAAGGATATCTTTGTATATAAATCTCATTTGTAGGTTTTCTCATATAAAAGCTCATGCTTTTCTTTCTAGATTCATATTAGTATTACCATCGATCCCTCTCCTCCCGTCAACGCCGCCCTGCACCACCGCCACACATGGAAGCAGACGGCGGATGTTCACCCACCTCCAGCGGTGAAAAGAGAAAGAAGAGGGATACCAAAAGCAATAACCAGCTTCTTCACGTCGACAAACCCTACAGAGGGATAAGGATGAGGAAGTGGGGAAAGTGGGTGGCTGAGATTCGTGAACCCAACAAGCGTTCACGTATCTGGCTCGGTTCCTACTCCTCCCCCATCGCCGCCGCCCGTGCCTACGACACCGCCGTCTTCTATCTCCGTGGCCCCTCTGCCCGTCTCAATTTCCCAGAATCCATCGGAGATGAAGGATACCTCCACGACCTATCTGCTGCTTCGATCCGAAAAAAGGCGACGGAAGTAGGAGCTAAGGTGGACGCCCTCCAGAACCAGAACGGCGGCCCAAACGGCCACCACTCGCCGTCGACGGAATCATACTCGGGTCGGGTTTGTTTGAACCCGGACCTTAACGAGTACCCAACTCCAGAAACTTCAGACGAAAATTAAGGGAATGAAGCCTATTAACTTGTTGATAAAAAAGATCATCAGTTTCTATTTCTAAAAGATGAATATATAGCTTCATAGATATATATATATATATAGAGAGAGAGAGAGAGAGAGAGAGAGAGAGTGATTAATTAGAGAGGTAGAGATGCATAATCCGAAGGGATTACACATGTTCATCTTATTAATTATTATTGCTATATATGGCTTTCTTGATTAATTAATCAGCCACCAAATTGAAATTACTATATATCTATCTATCTATAAATAGTAAATCAACACTTAATTAACCTTATGTTTGTAGTTTCTAATCAAAATTCATTTCAATATATATATATATCACCTTCTTAATCAGTTTCCAATACCTTAATAAACACATAGTATTTCCTTCATTCTGCAAGTATATGATGCTTTGGTTTTATCTAAACAAATTTCAAATTGTTTCAGTTTTTGATGTATGTTTCGTGAAAATCCCTCCCACAGCAATGTTTTTGTTACAAGGAAAAAAAACTATATATATGCAATATTATAAAGTATTTGGCAAAAATTCTTAACAACATTTTTATGTATAAAATACTGTTTATTGATGTATTTTACTTAAACTTCAATATTACAAGTAAATTGTACGTTCTTCCAAAAGTGGAACAGGTGTTAGAAGTGCGTTCGATTGATTCAATATCGATGAATCTGTTCAACTTATTAAAGCTTCATGTTTGAATTCATGTAACTAACTGTAGATAAACATTATCAAATATATGATAAACATCTCATTTTAAATATAAAAAATTTAAAATATAATTAGAATAATCAATGAGTTCTAACAAAATACTTAATTATTATTTTTATAAAAAAATTATATTATTAAACCCAAAAATAAAAAAGAAGAAATTTTAAATAGTTAGTTTGGTATTAATATCAAGATTTTTTTTTTATTTTTTATCATAATATTTATATTTTATTTAAAAATAAACATTAACGCTTTTTGCAACACCATAGAAACCTTATTATAACATCGATTAAAAAAAAACAATAAGAGTGAGATGTATTTCGCTACATTGTACGAGTACCCTTCTAGCATATATATATAACAATTTTTAAATGTAAAATTCATATTTCAAAGTTTATTTTTAACATTATTTATTTATAATTTTTCACCATTAACTCATACGGTTTTATATCATGAATTATCTTTTACCGACTTTCTCTTTTCGGTTAACTTTTGCAATATAGAATTATATAAAGGAAAAATGGTTGTTATGTAACTTTTAGGATGCCTACAAACATGATTAAATAACAATTTCCAACCAATCATTGCCCACAAAACTCTAGTTTTAATACATATAAAACTTGTGTAATCATACACTTGAATTTTATAAAAATAAATGGACGATATCTAAACATCAACACCTCAAAATAATTAAACCATGTGTTCTTTTCTCAAGTTGAAAAAAAAAAACATATTTTATTTTTACAAGAATTTGTCATGCGATATCACTTCAAAATAAAATAACCTCATTGGGTTATTATTTAACGACGTTTGGTTTTATAGGATTATTTTGTGAGATTTAGATTTCGTGAAATATTTGAAGTTTTTTATTACAAAAAAATTTTCAAACAACATCTGTGTTTGAAACCGAAGTTAAAGTGATAGATCTTTTAGCTAAGCTCGCACTTAGGGATCATCATACAACTTTGTTATAAATTATCCCTTAGTGGGCTTGGGAGTCATGGTCTTAATCCTCCATGCTACCAACAAATGAACCGTACCAAGTGACAATTTCAATTCCAAATCCGATCCAATCCAATCCTAAAATCACACATGGCTTTAGATTTTCATCGAGGATTCTTTAGATGATTAATGGGCAAGTTTGTGACACATTCAAGAATTTATTGAAGTCGTTTTTATCCAACAATAAGTGAGTAGAAATAACATAATCGAATATATTGGGTTTCTTGGGTATTAATGCACATTTTCGGACTCCAGTGTCGCTTTGTAGCTTGATATAAATTTTTTTTGAAAGGAAAACCAATTTATTAGAACCCAAAGAGAAAAACAAAAGAGCTTTTGTAAGCCGTTGAACGAATACAAAGAAAACAAGCTAGAGAAAGGCAAAACCAAGCAGCCCAACAAGAAGGAACTACAACAAAGCAACAACTACGAAAACCTGAAATCAAGAAACAAAACACCCCGCAGACTCGAAGCTCATGTCACAACAGATGATGCCAAACATGGTTCCGTCAGCCACAAGCCCCGCAGAAAGGCAATTTTTTTGAATTCGTCTTGAAATCCAATTGTAAGCTCTTATTTGAATACTTGAAAATAGAAGATCTGAAGGTGAAGATTTACCTGAAAAACCATTTGATTACGATGTTCCAACATCAAGTATGTCGTAGACCAAAGAGTAGCTTGTAAAATATATCCACCAGAATAATTTAAAACTTCTTTTACCGGATTCCCAATACTGCCTTCGATCTTCCCCTACAGAATAAAGGAGGATCACACTTTCGCGCTATTCTACACTTTATGAGAAAATGATCTGTAGTCTCTTGTTCTTCTCCACAATACAATTATTAAATCTAAATTAAATTATAATAAAAAACTAAATTAGAAAAAATATACCAAAAAAACAAAAACTATTAAATAGTTAATTAATTTGATACTATTATCGATTTATTTTTTTACAAATTTTATGTTATCTTCAAATTGATATTTTAGTTCAAATACGATTTTCTCAAAACAACATAAAATCGTATTATGTCGATAGAGATAAAGAATAAAAACTAAATATTAAAATCGAGATTTATCTCGCTGCATTACATGAGTATCCTTCTAATAAATTTATAATAAAGATGTTAACTTAATCATAAAAAAGATATGATGAATTTACACGTTTTAATGGATTTGAAAATGATCATATTTTATTAATAATTGTTTATCTATATTTCAAAATACAATCATATATATATATATGTGTATATATATATATATGTATATATATATGTATGGAAAATTTAAAGCTGTTAAATGCAATTTATAGGTTGAGTAACAAATTATAACTGAAATCCTCGAAAGAGAAAGAGAAAGAGTAAAGGAAAGATGAGACAGTTATCAAACAACATGGATAAGAAGATAAGATTTAGGTTCTTATATATTTTATTATCATTAATGACGTGTTATATACTTATATAATATTATATATATATAGAGAGAGAGAGAGAGAGAGAGTCTGTGTGAGCGGTCCATTGAGAGGGTAGTCACCACTCACCATCATGGGAGGAAGCTTATGGATGGTTGTTTAATTAAGTAGGACGGTGGTATTATTCGTTAATCCTATTATATAGATATTTGATGAGATGTATCTTGATTTTAATATTTTGTTTTATTTTTTATCTTTGTTGGTATTATAATATAATTTTATACGGTTTTGAGAAATCGATATTTTTGAATAAAAATAAAAATTTAAAAATATCATAAAAATTTAAAATAATATATAAAAGTTCTAGTTTTTTTATGTAATTTCTTTAATTCAATTTTTTATTATAATTTAATTTAGGTTTAATAATGAAGTAATTTATTTTTGGTTTAAATATATTTTAGATTTTTTCTATTTAAAAAGTTTATCTTGTATTTGACCATGTTTATCTGCAGTTAGTTACAAGAATTCAAATATAGAAATTTAATAAGTTGTACTTATGCACAATTTACTTGTAATCTTGAACTTTAAGTAATATGCATTAATAAGCAGTACATCATGCATAAAAAATGATTTTTAAGAATTTTTGTTAGACGTTTTACAATATAGTATAGATAATTTATATATCTAAATATTACTACAAGTAAAACGATATTTCTGTTTTCTTGACAAAAGATTTTTATGATTACCTTCTCTTGAATACAATTATGAATATGTTCAGTAATTTTTTTCATGGTATGATGAACTTAACATATATTTAGAACTTGATTTATTACTTAGAGGGAGGTTATACAAGAATGATATCTAAATAAGAAAATAAACAAATAACTCTTATTTAATAATTTTTTTAAAATAATACCAAAAAACAGTAATATCCATAAATAGGTGAAAAGAGTATATATATATATATATATATATATATATATATATAATCATCTCCGCTTCATTGTTTGGATAAATCTACTTCCCAAAACTTGGGATCACTACCATTTTGGATAAACAAGGGGTATGGATCTTGTACGTTTTTTTTTGAAGCAAACCATTCTCGTATGAACCATTCTTGAAGCAACCATTCTTGTATGAAACAACCATTCTTGATGTATTTCTTCCATATTATTGTTTACGATCCTGGGTAGGAAACTGGTGTGATTGAAAAACCTAAAGAAATTTTTCTTTGTTCATGTCTTTAATGGAGTCGTTGACTGAAACGATCGAATGTGATGTGATAGATGAAACCATTCATGTTTCTGTAATTGATCCAGCAAATCAGGCTAATGTGTGTGAAGTTCCGATTAACAATCTCAAGGATGTGGACAATGGTGATACATTCATGGAGGAAGTTCAAGGTAATATTGTGCTTATTGTTCCTTTTTAATCTTATTGTAGTGAGTTGTGCATTTTCTTAAAAACATTGTTATTAATAATTTAGGTTTTATTCATATGACTTTAAGAAGGATTTCATTATGATGAAGAAAAGTGTACACGTTTATATCATTTGTTATCATTTGTGATTCATGACTATTATGCACTGTTTTGTATAGATGGGTATTGATGGTCAAGTTCACAGACATAAACATGATCATATATGATTATGTGGTAATTATATAACTAAATCTTTTGTCACATCTATTTAATGTAACTACTATACCAATCCAAGTGATCATAGGTCACATGTAATGTTTGATTTTTAGGTTGTCAAATTGCAGGTAGATGGGTCTTTCTCATGTTCTTGAGAACATTTCGAGTATTTTGGCATTCTATGTTACCACATATTCAATGTCTTATTCAATATTGATGTTGAAGAGGTACCTAGCCAGGATATTAGCAGACGATGGATGAGAGGTGTTATCCCCATGGATGAGAGGACTTACACCTGTTGTTGGTATATATGCTCTAGAAAGTATTAAAAATAAAGGATGTGAGACTGGTAAGAGTTTGATAAGTGCCAAGGAGCAACCTATAAAGAATATGCAACCCAAGAGGAAGTGTAGAGGATGTAATTAACTCACGTACCATGATTCCC